TAGTGTGCCATGGAAAACAAATGTTTAATGACTTATTGACAAACGTCAAAGTGTGATGTACGTTGTTTGATGCTTGTGAGTCTAAAACCAGTTCTAAGTAGAACTTGCAGAATGTTTATTGAAAACTATCCAGAAGAGAACGCAATAATAATACTTAAGTCTGAATTCTCAAATTTTTATTTTGGCCACAGCCCCAGAAACGTCTAATGACCGGTCTCGCTGAGTTTGTTAAAATGTTGTTCAAATTTAATGATACATTCTTAAAGTCTCTGATGATGACGTTAGCCGAAACCGGTTAAACAATAAATAGAAGAACCAAAAAAAAGTATTGTTTTATTCTAATTTACATTATCTCAGAAAAAAATCCACAGAGAAGACTCCAAAGGAACTGAAGAAAGAAGGTATCATATAATAATAAGAACAACATAACTTCACTAATCATTTCTATGTTGAAGCTAATCCAAAAATAACTCAATTAACGTTTTTGATGATCACCAACAAATCCACAAAAACTAATTGAATACTAATATTTTGTTTGCCATAATAAGGCATTCCATTGTTTTTATTTTAGAAAACAAATGAGCAATGAATAACACTTGAAGTTTTTTTAATGGCAATATATCCTTTCGTTAGGCTCATTTGATAGAGATTTGTTTTCTCTTTACGATGACGTAAAATTTTAGAACTATTATATCAGAAAATTTTTGAAAAAAAAATTAAAAACAGTTTATCAAGAAAATTTAGCTAATAACATGAATCTAGATATTAAGTACCTCAAATTCCGAACACTAGATAGAAGTAGAAACATTCGGGTTTAGCCGTCTTTAGAGACGTGCGGCTAAACCTGAATGATTCTAGTTCTAGGACTAATGTTAGTTCTATTTCAGTAAAAATAGACAACAATTTAACGCTTAGTAACAATTAAAACTAGAACTAACAGTAGACCTAGAAAAATTCCGGTTTAGTAAAATTAGGGTGTATCGAATTTTTCTAGTTTTAGTGCAATAAAAATATACAACATAGTGATATCTAGCAACATCATGTTTGAACTCATTTTAATAGTTTTTTTTTAATAAAGAATACATCATAAGAGAACACCATGAAGTTGTCCATTTGTCTATTATATGATAACTAACTTCAGATTTAAAATGTTAACCTCAATTTTGACATATTTGTAATCTTCATTAAAAATCCTTTAAAATGAGTACAAACACGACATATTTATCTTCAATATTAATGAAGTTATGGTCAACTTCCG